ACAATGCTCCAGCCAGCCCCAAAGGCTGCCCCTCAGTCTTATTTACAGGTAGACAGGTCACAACTCAACTGCAGAGTCCTGTGGGCCCATGGTGCCAGAAGCCAAGGAGAAAGTCGATACTGGCCAAAAGTGGTCCGGTGGCGTGAGGATGCCCAGGTAAACTTTCTGGCCACCTCTAGGCCCTGGCTGTGAGGGGAGAAGCAAAGGCGCAGCAGGACGTGGTCATCACAGGCAGCAGAGAGCAACCCAAGCCAACCTCGTCTCCAGCCAGGAGGGCCAGAGCCATGGGGGAATCAGTCCCACGCCCGAGCCAATACTTCTGAAAGCACCTTGGCTTCAGGAGAAAGCTCACTTCAGGCCCCACCCAGGCCTCCTGGATCAGAAACCCTGGGGTGATCCCCTCCAGGTGATCCTGGTACCTGATCAAGCCAGAGAACCTCTTCTCTGGACCAAAGCTGCATTTGATGGCCAGAGGAGCTGCTTCTTCCTTGTTTAATTGGCTCTCCAGTAGCCACTGCACTTAAAGGCATCACCCACAGATGAAATGCAGAGAGGGTCCCTCCCTAACTATGGAAGCCCAGGGACTTGCCCTCCCTGGTCAGTGCAGGCCCACAGCTCAGCTCCTCCCAGGACTTAGAGTGAAAGGGGGTTAGATTCCAATGCAGCATCTGCAGCCTTGCCCAGCTCCCAGATCTCCTCCCAGATAAGCTACTTGCTCTAAAGTCCTAAACTCAGGATCTACCTGGCAGAAACTCAAACCGAGATACACAGTCAGCCTATTGCTTCCTGGCCACTCCTGCATCTGAAGAGCCATTCCTGGGAGGCCCAACTTAAGGGCCCCTCTTCCCTGAAACTCACTCCGACGCCCCTCATCATAAATAACTGCTCCTTCCCCGGGGCGATTTGTTTCTTTCTGTTTTACACAGAGCAGAATGGCCAGTAGCTTACCTTTCTGCTACTATGGCCTAAATGTTTGTGTCCATCCCCCCAATTTCTATGTTGAAATCCCAACCCCCAAGGTGTGCTATCAGGAGACAGGGGCTTTGGGGTGATTAGGTTGGAGCTCTCAAGAATGGGATTAATGTATCATAAAGGAGCCTCGCCCAGAGAACTCTCTCCCGACTTCTGCCACGTGAGGTTCCAGTGGGAAGGCGCCATCGCTGAACCAGGAAATAAGCCCCACCAGACACCAAGTTTGCCTTACTACCTTGATCTTGGACCTCCCAGGCTCCAGACTGTGAGAAATACATGTTTGTTTTGACCAAAGAAGGGTCAGAGGGCACAAGGAGTCGGGGTGCAGCCCTGCCTCCACCTTCCCTGTCAACCAGAAGCTGTGCTTTCAAGAAATCTTCCCTGGGAGATGAAGGAAGCTCTCAGCTCTCTGTTCTGCCAACAAGCCAGGAGAGCTCTCTGTTCAATGAGAAATCTCTTGTTACTTTAATTTGCAAGAAATTTAAGTTTCATTTTATAAATGCCACCCAGGAATATCTCTTCTTAAAACTTCCCCAGTTATTCAAGAGGAGAAATAAAAGGCACCAGATTTTGCACTGAGATAAATGGGGAAGAAAAAATACAGATTGCCTGAAACTAGTGTGCAATCTCTGGGAGATCCCTGGGACCTCCCAGTGGCGCAGGTTACTACATGGATGGGGGAGGGCCTCAAAGAAGCCACACGCACTCAGCTGATGAAAACTGCCTGGAGAGGCCTCAGCAGAAAGACACTGCAGCCTTTAAGACCATTAGTTGGCAAAGGAGTTGTTAGTAGGGTCAAGCTGGAGAGCTGAAAGGGAGCAGACCACCTAAGGATCTAACGCTAACCAGGGGAGCCGGCCAGGCACTAGCCGTCAGGAAGAAAACGCAATGTACTCAAGGCTTCATCTACCAATCTCTCTTATGCTAAATGTAACTTGCCATTTTTTTCCCAAATGTTCTTTGTTTCCTTAGGTTCATGGAGAAAGACCATAAACAAACAAAAACAGCTGGTTGCCACCTAACTTATCAGTGCCTCCCGGGAAAGGGAGAGCTGCCTGTCACTAGATAAAGGCAGAGCCAGGAGGAATTCTCCAGGAGGCACTGCAGTGGTCCCATGGCTGACCCCACCATTCATTCCACACCAAGGGGCTGCTCCAAGCCAGCCCCAGACACTCCAGCTCTCTTGCCAGGGCTTAGGTTAGGCCAGCCTAGCTCAAACCAGGAGGGCTATTACATGTGGGTGCTGGACCCCAAGCTCAGAGCGTCTGATGTAGCAGGTACCTGAGCGCTGCTGGTCCAGGGACCCACCCTGGGTGAGCCACCAGTTTGGACACAGACAAGCAACTCAGTTGTGCTCAGTGAGAGGAGACTGCTGGGGGAGTCCGGGGAAGGCTTCTCTGCTCATAAGCAGACACTAGAGGAGACCACCCTCTGGTCCTCTAGACTGCTTGTGACAACAGAGATGTTCTTTTATCTGCTCTGCCCAGTACGGTAGCCACTAACCACAGGTGGCCAGAGAGCACTTGAAATGTATCTAGTGTCACTGCTGAAACTAGAAATTTTATTTCATTTAAATAATTTTGAATGTAAAAGCCACTTGTGGCCTGTGGCTCCCATAATGGACATGAGAGCCCGGGACACTGTTAGGATGTAGTGGCTGGAACTGCTGCTGTTGCCATGGCTCCCCAGCCATCAGCCTGAGGGGGAGGACACCACACGGAGAGGTCACCACACAGGGAGCACAGAGTCACATTCTGACGTACTCGGCCCAACGGAGCTTCTTGCTATGTAAGATCACACATTTCTTTATTGCTTAAGGCCGTGTGAGTAAGTAATCCCCACTGCTGCAGCCATGAGGACATTCAAGTCAGCCTGTGAAAAAAGGGAGCTAGTCACCCCAAGGACAATATCACTGGCAAGCAGAAAAGTGAGAAAAGCAAAACTTGGTTCCCAGTGGACTTAAGAGGGTTCGACCTGAAGGGATACCATCCGGACTTACAGCATTCAAGATCTGGACACAGCCCTGCTCTCTGCCTGCCTGCTAACACATATCTGGGGACACTGCTGACCCCTCCATCCCAAGGGCCACCAGTGTGAGGACAACTACATGGTGGGTTACTGACAGGAGGCATCTTCCCCAGCATGGGAAGGTCTACTGCAGGAGAATACACCTCTTGCTCTGGCTCAAAATCCCACCATTAGCAATGCTTGCTGCAGTTAAAGCAAGACCTCTCTCTGGAGCCCCCTTTTAAAATGCAAATACTCCTACAAAAGGTACTGGCTTAAGCCTTGAAATGTCAAAGTGAACTGAGTAAATTAGATCATTCTACCTGGCTCCCAAGGAAACAGAAAGCTGGAAAAGGGTGAAGCATGAGGCAAGAACTATACACTCAGGGCTCAAACAGTTCAGTTTTACAAAAGCCCCACCTATCACTCTCCTTATCCTGACTGCACCACTCCACAGGTTTCCCGAAAGCCAGGCCCAAGTTCAAAATTCTGAAAATCCCACCATGCAATCAATGAAGTGATAGAGACTCAGCAGCTCTGAATTATGGTCCCAGAAGAGTTCTCCCTGAACCCTACACAGGATGAGGGAGCCTGTGAGGGGCTGAACTGTGTCTTCCAAAAAGATGCTCAAGTTCTAATCTCTAGTAAATGTGGATGTGACCTTATTTGGAAATATGGTCTTTACATATGATCAAATTAAGATGAGGTCACAGTGGACGAGCAGGGAGGGCCCTTAAACCAATACGACTGGTGTCCTTTCTAAGAGGAGGAATCTGGAGACGCATACACAGAGAGAACACCATGTGAGCATGAAGGCTCAGACAGACTGGGCGATGCATCTACAAGCCAAGGAACATCAAAGACGGCCTGCAATTGGCAAAAGCCAGGAGAGAGAGAGGCTTGGAACAGACCCTCCCCTGGATCCTTCAGAGCGGGCGTGGCTCTGCCAACACAGCACCTCGATCTCAGACTTCTGGCCTCCAGAACTGGGCGAGAATCTTTCTGTTGTATAAGCCACTCAGTTTGTGGCACTTACTATGGCAGCCCTAGGAAATGACTCAGTGTCCCTACTGTACCTGTCTTCCCTTCAGATCACTCTGACCTCACTTTTTGTACTGACTCACTTAACTATCTCCCCCATAGACCCTAAGATGCACAAGCACAGGGACCACACCTGCCCGTTCACCACTACATCCCAAGCCCACTTCTGGTGCACTGAGGTGGTCTTCAGTCAGCCAGAGAACACCCGAAAGGTCTGCCCCTGGAGAGTTCTGGAATCTCTGGCATGAGACTCCCCTCCCTGAGTGGCAATTTCCCCATCTGTCTACATGAAAGAAAACCAAATCAATGGACCAAAAGATCTCTGTGAGCCCTTTCAAACCCAAAACTCCAGGACTCACCACTGAAGGTGTCCCCATCCCTCCAGATCAGATCAGGACATCAAAAACGCACCAGGGGCATTAAAGAGAAGGCCTGTGGCACAGCAGTGGGGAAAGCGGGGAGACTACGACAGTCTTCCTGCTGGGACCTCCTCATTGAGGTGAAAGCAGGGTTGGTCTACACTAAGTGCTTCTGGAAACACATCCATGTCAGCATGGACCGGCTACTCCTGTCCCCACGGCAACAACCCCTTGGGCTGTTCCTGCTTACAAAGGACAGTCCCCAAAGGGACCAGTCTCATGGACGGGTGGCCTTGGCAGGGGCGGGGGAAGGGGGGCTCACTGAGAAGTCCTATGCCCTGAGAGTGAAGGAACAGCAAAACAGGTGCCTCCCCAGCACCCACCTCCCTTCTACCACCGGAGCCGGATTTCTGCCCTCACCCATTAAGACAACATACTGCTGATAAGAGAAAACGTGAATGGGAGATGATGTGAATGTCAACAGAAGATGAACCCAGAAGCAATATGAAAGGCGAGGGCCCACTTCGCAGCCCATGAGCCCAGGGCTGCCCTGGCTCGCGCCCAGACCTGGCCAGCGCAGTGGCCTCCGGGAAGGAGGGGTCCCTGGAAAGGGGTACTCACCCACACTGCTGAGGGAGCTGCTGCTTTCTGAGTCTGAGGGCATGATCGACAAGACGCTGTAGGTGGAGCCTGGGGACAGAAAGGGAGACCATTTGTTACTAACCCCAAAGGGGTCTCCTATCTATACTGCAGACCACTGTCAGAGCAACTGATCTGCGGTCACTGCCAGGCTGAGACCCCGCGCTGCACCAGAGACCAAAAACCGAACCCAGGGCCAGGCAGGGGAGGGGCAGGCAACAGGGACTGGTCACCTGCCACCACCCTCCAGCCCTGAAGACTGATCCACATACGGGCAGAGCAGAACCTGGAATCAGTCGGCTGGCTTCTTACTGGGCCTTGGCCTGGGAGCAACACGCCCCAGGTTAAAACGAAGTCTGGGGATTCCCTACAGATTTGTATCAGTATGATTCTGGCTTCCATGCAGAGGGTAACAGAGCATAAATTAAACGTCTGTGAACTATTTGGTTTTTTCAGCCTGTCTATTCTGTTATTAGTTTCTAACTGTTGTATTCAAGCTCAGTCCTTGATAATTTAGTCAGTGTCTACTCCCTTATTAAAAGTTACTCATCAAATTATGAGCAATTACACTGCTGTGGAAGCCAGGGAGTGGCACGTTTTGTTGTTGCTGTTGTTTGTCGACACAATGTTGCCAACCCCCGGTTATAGACACACAACCACCATGGTTTGGTGTGAATTCAAATATTTTCAAAGACAGGATATTACCCTCCTGGCATCAGGAAAAGCCTCTGGGCCAGGAAACCCAGTTTCTGAACACAGCTCGTGTCCACGTGCTAGTAGCTCGGTGATGCTGAGCAAACCACTTCAGTTTTCTGAAACTGTGTCCTGGTCTGTAAAATGAAGGGTTCAGCCAGTCGGATTACGAGGCCCTTTCCCTTGTCCCACTTCAGTGATGACATTCTCCACTGATTAATGGAAACAGGTATGCTTTGCTTACCAAGACTATGGGTGACACACAGGCAAGGGGACGAACACACTCAGAGACGAAACTGGGAGTTTAAAAAAGCACAACATGCCGAGATGGTGGGTCAATGAAAACAAGATAATGGGAGGAATGCAAAGTTTTGTTCTCAGAACCAAAAGAACTTCAGTGAAGAGGTGTGTGTACTGGGCATGGTGGGTGAGCCCAAGATGGGATTTTAGCAATAAAGCCTTTGAATAAGCCTCAGGACTTGAGTGTCAGACAGCGGCCAAGAACTAATGAGATCTTGGGCTCCAGAACTGGAAATGTGGGGGCCAAGTTTAAGGGGTTCTCTCCCATCTCAATTCTTGACTAGCCATCCCATCCATGCAACACATCCTCAGAAGGGAAAGAAAAGTGAGATGGGAGTAGACAGAAAGAGGGAGGAGAGGAGGGACACCATGGGAGGGGGGCAGGGGACAGGAGAGGCCCCAGGGGAGGGGGAAGATTTGGGGGGAGGAGATGAAGACCACACATGGAGGGCAGAGAGACAGACAACTGGGTGTGACCATGTGCAGGTGAGCTAGCAGATGTGCCCACCTGAAAAAGCGATGAAAGGAGAGAGAAATGAGAAGGAAAGGGGACTCTGGTAATGGCAGAAACTAGGACAGTGGCCAGGAGAGTCCAGTGGCCTCAGGATTACATTCTGGGAGAACCTCTGAAGAACCCGCAGGTGTCTCGCGTGGATGGAAGAGAATGGTTTGGGGACTGGGCAGGTGTTTTGTCTTCAACTAGGACTGTCAGAAAGGATTCGAGGTGTTTGGCCTCCAGCAGCAGAGCTGGGACAGCAGGGAAATGTGGAGGGAGCCGCAGGGCAGGATGGCTGAACAGTCCGCACCCCCGGGCGCACCTGGCAGGGACATCCGAGGGCACCTGCGCGTCACCAGAAGGGAGCTAGAGCCAGAAAACCCCACTAGCCCTGAAGTTCCTGGGTCCCACTGAAAAATGAGCAGCAATGTTCAGTGACTTACCCCCTGTATTTCAAGTCCATCCCCCACTATTCATTTTACTGAACATTCAACATCTCTGCGTTTTCGTTTTAAACGATGAGCATCACAAACTTCTCAACTCATCTCTTCCCAGATCATAAACATTAAGTGTTATGTAAAGATCCATGAAATCCAGTCAGATGCAGCTCAGGCAATCAATCCACTGATATCTTCAAAGGGCAAGTGGGACACAACGCCTATCTTTAACTCAATCACCGTTTCTCAATTATTTCTTATGTTTATGGGGGCAAGGAAGGCCAGCCGACTGGTAGGTTGGTGGACTGTTTTCAAAAGACGCCAACTCAGAAACTCGGGCATAATAAACTCTCCCACTCACACCTCCAAGATCTGTGAGCCCAACCAATCCCGCGCCCCGGGAGACGCTCCCTGCGGGATGCCTCGATGCTTTCTGGCTGCTGGCACCAACCGTGCCCATCTTCCAGTAAACCGCCCCTCCCCCTCAGATCTCTCCCTCCTCCCCGGGGCGCGTTTCCACTGTTAATTAAACTTGGCAGAAGGCCTTCTCTCCCTCCGCCCATCTCCTGCCCTCGCTGGGGGAGTCAACTGGCCAACCAACACATTCTGTTCCTCTTCCCAGTCCCCAAGTCCTGGCGGAGCTCTGGGGCCTGACCCAGGGACGGTGTGACATCTCTGTCTGCATCTCTGGGCATCACCACCCCCAAGTCAGCTGGCAAGGCTCCCGGGAGCTAGGGGTGGGGGCCCGCAGGGAGCGATTAAAATTGGACAGGGCCCAGCTTTTACAATGTTCCCAGGGCCTTAGACGTCATTCAGGGGGAAGAAAGGGCCTGAAGACGACATTGTCTTGGTCATGCTTTGTCTCTGCGGCTATTGTGGTCTTAAAAAGCCTTGTGTGGTCAGGACTTTCGGGAAAAGGCAAAGGAGTCTCTCTCCTCCAAAGTCACGCGGCACCCTTTCCAAGCCGGTGCTTCTGAGAGGCGGGTGTCAAGCGTCATCTACCTCTGGGGTTTCACAATCGAATCTGAGGCCAATGGGAGTTCTGTCTCACAGGCACACCTCTGCCCCTCACAGCCCCTCAGTCTCAGCCATGGCGAAGGCACCTCCACCACCCCACCTGCTCTGAAACCTGCGGCACAACCCCCACCTCAAGGAGAGGCCCAGACGAACCAGCTCCCCAACTGAACTGCCCCACTCCCTTGCCACCCACCCCCCCACACCCACAGGACAGCAAGCACCACCACTCCGGACGCTCCCGCAATCTCGCGCACACCTGTGCAGAGGTCCCAAGAGGAACCAGAGGAAGCTGGATGATCTGGAAAAGTTTCCAGCAAAGGAAGGCAGAGCATGGGCCCAGGTGTTCATGGCCATGGGGAACAGAGAGGGGTTCTTGACTGCACAGGATTACCTTGAGGCCAGGTACAAGTGCAGGTTCTAACTGGGCACATTAAGGGGGGCACTGGCCCACAGAGGGAATGAATGCAGGGTACCAAGGCTGACCAGAGCCAGCAGGTGGACGCAAATGGAAGTCAAGGCAGAAGCCCTGGGAGACAGCTGGCAAACTCTGGGCCGGGCCTGGGCTGCACATTGCCTGGGTCCTTCCCAAGAGCACCTCGGGCCCCTGCTAATTGTGTTTACTCTGTGACTCAGCCCCATGGGGTCACGGAGACCACTTGAAAAGAACTTCCAGTAAAATCACACTAACGATAACCAGCCTGTGGGGCCCAAGAGAGACAGAAATTCATCCCTCACACAGCCCTCCATTCACCTGGAGCATGTCGAAGCCCCGGTGACTCACACTTTCCCTCTGTGAAAGCTGAGAGACGTGTTCCGGCCTTCAGCACATAGTCCTCCCTGAGCGCAAGGACAGAAGCTGGCCCAATGACATGACCTGAGGATGTGCTCGACCTCTCCCCAAAACCACCTGAGGAGGGAGAAGGAGAAGGCAAGCTACCATCCCCTCAGGGCTCTGTGGAACAGTGGACATACTGCCTGGTCTCGGGGTGGGGGTCACCACCAGGCCACCTGCCTTACCCTGGTACCCTCTCCTAGCTCACACCTGAGGAATCACAGCCGGCACACAGGTGACAGAGGGCTCACGGGTCCACGAGGTTCCCGATGAGTGCTGAGCCCTGCAAGGCACTAGCCAGATCTGGTGGAAAGAAGAGAAGCTGGGGCTGCAGAGGGTGCTTGCCAGCTGGAAGACTCTGCAAAAGTCCCCTCTCCACTCTGAGCCTGGGGCCCTCATCTGTCAATCAAGGCAGTAATGACTAGAATATAGAATATTCATGGGGCGCCAGCCAGCCTGGGTTCAACCCCCAACTCTGCTACGTAGCAGCTCTGCCCTCAGGTAAGTCACTCAGGCTCTCCCAGACTCCATGTGCTTATCTGTAAAATGGGATAATAGGAGTACTTACCTCACAGGGGATCAACTGAGGCAATTGGGAAGGGCTTGAAGCAGCACCTGCACAGCCAGCACTCTAAGTGTTAGCTACTGCTCTTATGGTCAAACCAGACTTCCAACAGCCCTCAATCCTTGATGACCTAAGGTGAAAGCTGTACTAGCATGACGAGGTCACACGGTTCACATGACAACTGCTGGGCTATCTGAGCCTCACTAACCATTAGTGTCTGATGTGCAAGCATTGTGCAAGCTTGTCTTGGTGAGTCCCCACGTCAACCCTGAGGCTGTCATTAGCCCCACTTCACAGAGGAGGAAACTAAGGGTTAGAAAAATTAAGTAACTTGCTTAAGGTCATGGCAGAGCTACTAGGGAGGAAGGGGGTGAGTAGGATACAAACCCAGGCAGTTTAGCCCAAATCCTGCACTCCTGATGCCTCTACATAATGCTGCTGCCTGGCTCTGAAGGTGGAAGAGCAGTCAAGGGAGACTTCATGGAGGAAGGGGTCTGGAGCTGGCCCTGGAGGACAATGGACTTGAATAACCACCTGAGAAGCCAGATCAGCCTGGATGGGAGACAGGCAGAACCTGTCACCCTGTTCAAATGTAAAGTTTCAGAACAGGAACAGCCTGGCCCAGGGCCTTCCAGCCTGGATTCCCCCCAGAGTGAGCTTGTCCCCTCCCTGCCCTCCTCCCCACACCAAGAGGACACTCAATAGGCACTG